GGCGGCATGCGGCCTCTGTCGCTGGGGCCGTACAGGGAATCCCTTGGCTGGGCGCGAGCCTTGTGTGAGAGAGGCGTACCGACGTGGGCGGGGGGCGGCATGCGGGCTCGTCGCTGGGACCGTGCGGGTGTTGCTAGAAGTGCCCCTGGCCCAGGTTCCCCCCCAGCTTGTCGCTCCATTTCGGAGCCCCCTGGGGCCCTCTGGGCCTCCGACAAAAATGCCTGGGAGGGGCATGCGGCGGCGTGCGGGCCGCGTCGCCGGACGCGGGGGGCGGCATGCGGGCGGTGCCGCCGGAGCCGTGGGTGGAGCTCCCTGTGGGGCACGGGCCGTGCAAGAGGCGTGCCGACATGGGCGGGGGCGCGGTGCGCGGACTGCGTCGCCCAAGCGACGCAGTCCGCAGATGAAGCAGAATTGCGGGCCAGAGTTGCATCAGAGTTGAATCTGAATCTCATTCGAGCTTTAAGAGTTTCGCTCTTGAGGCGAGCTTGCTGCCAAAATGCACACCTGACGCTTGGGCCGCAGCAGTGCGTGGACTGGAGCGTATCGAGGGCGTGCCAGAAACTGCAGGATGGATTGCGTCTGTGGGGCCGTAGGTGGAGCTCCCTCCCTGCGGGCACGATCTGTGCAAGGGGTGGGCCAACAGCGGAGGTGGTCGACGTGCGGACGGTATCGACGCGGCCGTGGGTGAAGCTCCCCCTGGGGCACGAACTGTGTGAGCGATGTGCCGACGTGGGGGAGGCATGCGGACTGTGTCGATGGGGTGGTACCGCGAGCTCCCTGCTGGACACGAAACGCGTGAGGCCTATGTCGGAAGGGGCGTGGGGGGAGGCGGCACGCGGACTGCCTGGGGCCACATGGCGGGGAAAGGGGCATGCGGACTGTGCCGCTGGGGTCGTGCGTGGGGCTCCTTTTTGGTCATGACTTGCACTTCACATTCCCTACTCTGCCGTCATGGCGGAAGCCTGAAAGGCCCCAAATGCTCCCGAGATCACCCCAGCTCGGCGTCCCAGTCCCCAGACGGGACCCACTGGGGGCGCCCACTAGGCGCAGCTCGAGCTTACACTCGGAGCCCTCCAAGATGGCCCCCGAGATCGCCAGCAGGCCGCAAAGAGGCCCCAAGAGGCCACAAAGAGGCCCCCAAGCGACCCCCAAGATGTCCGCAACAGAACCCGTGAGAGGCCCCGAATGAGTCTCCAACAGGCCCCCAGAAAGAACCACGAGGCATACAATAGGCCTCGTGTCCACGCCCAAAAGGCACGGTGGCGGGATGGGCTGAATGCCACTTCAGAGCAGGCGCTGAAGTGGGCCCGAAACAGGCAAGCACGTGGCTGGATAGGTAGAATGCCTGGCCAGGGGACCTGCCGACAGGCGGCGTACAACGTGCAGGTGTAGCCATCGAAGGCCGTGCTCCTCGTCATCCTCGTCTCGTCGTCGTCGTCGTCGTCGTCGTCGTCGTCGTCGTCGTCGTCGTCGTCGTCGTCGTCGTCGTCGTCGTCGTCGTGGTCGTCGTCTTCGTCGTCGTCCTCGTCCTTCGGGGGCGTCCAAGAGGGGGTTCGTCAATCATGGCCCGAGGCAAGTGAGCGGAGGAGAGGGGGCCAGGGGACGCACTGAAAGAAGCACAAGGGGGACATGACATCTAGGAGGCTTCATGGCCCTAGTCATGATATCGTCAACCCCCTAGGCATCCGCCTCTTCCGCCTCCTCCTCCTCCTCCTCCGCCGCCTCCGCCTCCTCCTCCTCCTCCTCCTCCTCCTCCTCCTCCTCCTCCTCCTCCTCCTCCTGCCCCTCCTCCTCCTCCTCCTCCTCCTCCTCAATCTTCCTCGTTCCCGGGCCCTGCCCATCGCCCTAATAGGACACCGGGGCCTGCTGGAGAATCACCAAACTGGCCCACCCCTGGGAGCGAAGCAGAATCGACCGTCCCACGTGCTCCTCACGCGGTCGACGCCCCGACCAGGCTCCAGATACTGCTGGCTGCAGTTGGACGAAGCGGCAGTAACAGATGACACCAGCAGCGGCTCTTCAGACAGCACGAGCGCACAATTCACACCTCAGCAGCAACAAGAGAACCTCGAGCCGGGCGCGGATGGGGCACCGACGGGGCACGTCGCGCGCGCAACGTCAACCCGACGTACTCGTTCGGCGAAGCGGGTCACAGCAGGACAACTCAGATTTGATCGTTTTCAGCAATGAAAGGACATCCTGGATTGGGATTGCTCGAAAGGCCAACACGGCCACACACAGATGGTCGACTTGGGAAGGCACGACACTAAAATGCAATGATGGCTGGAAGTGAGAGCCAGTGACAGTCAGCTAGAACATGTGAAGCATCAGCCGCACGAAAAGAAGGGCCACACATTGAGGGATACTAAAGCTTCGCTGGAGGAGCGAACGCCGTGGAACAAGACATCCAGGAAAATTACACAGCAGAAGACGGGTAAGAAAACTTGTCAAATGGTCGTGAAACATGAGGGTCAGCAGCTCACGTGCAAGGAGCAGCCGACGAGGCCGAAGCTCCGCGGGCCACATGCAGAGCCCGCGAGCGGCGCTAAAAATCTCGGGGCCCGCTTCTCGAGGAACGAACCCAATTGCACAAACGCCAACGCCGCGAGGTACGCGCGGATTTCTTGAAGGATCGGCGCTGGAGCCCCCCGGCGGCGCCTCCGGAGCCGTCCCTGGCGCGCTCCGCGCGCCCAGGAGGGGGGTCCACCGCCGATACGAGAAATCCGCGCGAACCTCCAACAATTCATGTTAACGCGGGTTCGTGTCGTGCCGTCCCTGGCTTTGGTTCCTGGCACCGCGGGAATCTATTCACCTTGAACGATCAGCCGTGTCCGAAACGTCAGATAGCTCAACGTCGACCGATTCTGGGTCGCTGGCGGCGTCCAACGCTGAACGCCAGCGGCGGGGTCGCCGCTGGTCGACACGACGCGAACATACCGCATGCCTTGGAGTGCCATGAGTTGAGCAGGGACCGACCGTCCTGGCATTCCTATAGGCCTACCACGATACGTTCTTGGAAACTCAAAATATTCGAATAACTGAAACAAGGTTCTTAGAACATAAAACCAATGTGTTCAAATAAGACAATCACAGCCAGAAATGTTCTAAGAACATCTCGTGGAAACCACAGAAAGTTTCTTAGAACATTGCTTGGTAGGCCTACAGGCACGCCAGGACGCCTCGCCGCTGCTTCAACGCGGGCTTTGCTCTAAGACAGGAACACACCCCAGACGGCTCTGCCCGTTCTCCGACCCTGTACTGCCCCGAGCGCCACGGCCGCGCCGTCCATGAACGCAGCCATCCCGACGGTTTCTACATGCGCAACGGCACCCCGTGTGTCCATAGACGCTCGTGGCTAAAACAAAGAGAGCGGCGTGTGGCACAGACCCCAGGTTTATGATGTTCCAGCCTACTTTAGCCTTGATCACCAGAAACAATTTCGGGCCCTGGGAGGCGATACTCGTTCGACACTGTTTCGACACTTTTCTGAGTCTTCGAAATGACTTCTGAGATGTGGCTCTTGAGTACGATGGGAACTACGAAACCCCCGGTTTGGGCCTTCTAGACGCAGGAAGACCTTGAACTCCGCAGAGGCCTCCTAGATGGGCTCTAGGTGGGGTCGGCAGAGTGCACCGAGTCGCCGATGTACTGCCGGCGCATCGGCGATGCATCGGCTACGTCGGAGATACATCGGCGGCGCCGGCGTGGAGAAGATCGGACTCCGCATCGAGCCGCATCGTCGATGCATCCGCGATGCGGCGCGACCCTCTGACCCCATGAACTCGAACCCCATCATGGAGGCCTCGAGGACGATGTCATGATGAGATTGCCTCAGGGTGCGTTCCAAGAGTTCCAGGAGTATCTAGCGGCGCAGCCGGTGCGGAGCATCAGGAAATACGAGAAATCCTGGAAACCCTGGACGTCCCGGAACGTATCATCATCATGACCTCTTGCTCCTTTGAGCGTGTGCAACCTGCTGTGCCTCGAGCTTCCCTCCGAACCCGCCCGCAGGAGGTGCACCCCATGCGCCCCGCAGCGCCCCAGTCCACGGGGCGCCTCGGCCCCATACGGGCCTGCGAGGCGCGGGCGCGCGGGCGCAGCAGGCGCTCGGACCGAGGCCTCCCAGATGGGGTCGGAGGACCACCTAAGAGACGAAGCCAGGACGAGGAGCAAGTCGGGTGAGAACAAATCGAGAATCTCCGAGATCCGGCGGCCCTTGAGGATGTCTCGGGCGCCGCGGCCTCCTCAGAGCGTCTCTGCAGCGGATTGATCCCCGTCCTAGCCCCGTCCGAGGATCGCGCCGCATCGCCGATACATCACCGACGCATCGGCGATGCATCCACGACGTCGGCGATGCATCGGTGACGTCGGCGTGGAGAACATCGGGCATCACATCGAGCAGCACCGCCGATGCATCGGCGACGCGGCGTGACCCTCCGAACCCACCTACTCTGGCCCCATCTGGGAGACCTAGGCGTTGGGCCTCGCTTAATGGGGGAGCGATACATGAAGGGCGGAAGAAAAATAGTCTTTTCGGGCCCGAAAGGCCTCCTTGGGGGGCCTTAAAGGACCCCTTTCGGGGCCCTGAAACGCCCCCTTTCGGTAGCCCTCGACGCCCCCCGTTTATCGCCCCCTCATTACGCGCCCCCCGAGGCACTTCGGCCCCGTCTGGGAGACCTGGGACCTAGACGCTCCAGAGACATTTTGGACCCCTGACGAGGGCTGCAGAAAAAGGGCCCTTCAGGGCCGCCAGATAGGCCCTCTTTAGGGCCCGAAAAGAGGGCACCTTTCTTCCCCCTCCATTCACATTGCGCGACGCCCAGAACCCTCCGATGCCACCTTCTCCGGCCCTCCCTCCCACCCCACGGCTCCCCTCCCTCCTCTTCCTCCTCCTCCTCCTCCTCCTCCTCCTCCTCCTCCTCCTCCTCCTCCTCCTCCTCCTCCTCCTCCTCCGCTCGTCTCGCGCCCGCGCGGCTGGCCGGCACAACTGACATGACAGCTCAGAGGGCCACCACGCCGGAGGCCGAGCTCGCCATCCGCGCGGCCTGCTCTGCCGCGCCCAGGCGCTGCTCGGCGCCGGCGCCAGCGCTCGTCTGCCCGCTGCCAGCGCTGGCGGCGCCGGCCGAGGCGCCCTCGGCAGCGCCCTCGGCAGCGCCCTCGGCAGCGCCCTCGGCAGGGCCCTGCCCGGGCGCCGCGGCGGCGGCGGCGGGCGCTGCGCCGCCAGCCTGGGGGCTCGGCCTCTTCTTCGCCGCGGCCTTCGGAGCATCGTTTGAGAGATCTCTCTCTCCACGGGCCCCGGAGATCCTGGCGCTGCCATTCTGCCACAGTGGGTGTTTTTTCGCCCAAACCGCTCGGGCCCCGGGGCCCTCACCGAGCCGCGCAGAAAGATGGGGTGCGGGGCTCTGGGCGTGCTTTTCGCGACGTTGCTGTGTTGTCGCAACGTCGGATCTCAGGAGCGTGGCCTGGGCCTCACTGGCCGATTTGCCCCCGCAGATGGGGAATGTAGGCTGCTCCCTTGGAGTGTCCAGGGGCACATCCCCCGCTGGGGTGGTGGTATGGAGGGGATGGGGGTGGGGATCTGGACGGGGATCGGTCTTAAACAGCACTGACCTTCGCCTTCTTCTTGGGCAGCGGCACGGCGGCGGCGGCGGCGGAGTCGGAGATGACGCGGTCGAACTCCTTGAAGTGCGCGCCCTGGAGGATCTGCTCCGGGAAGGCGCCGACGTCGGCCAGGACGACCCGGAGGTTCTGGACGGTGGCGTCGCGGCCCGCCAACTCCGCCGCGCGCGCGCGCCTCATGGGGTCTTTCTTGAGCAGCCGCGACAGGTCCCCGGCGAGCGCCTCCACCTGGCTGGCCCGCTCCTCGGGGTGGTGCTCCAGGGCGTCGTCGGGCAGCGTGGCCTCGCGGTTCGTGATGGACTTCCGGAGGGCCCTTGCCGCCACGCCCTTGGCGATGGACCTGGCGGCCTGCTCAGGAGTGATGTTGGCGTTCGCCACCTCCCGCTCCAGCGGGTAGGCGACCTGGCCAGCGAGGGCGCTGCTGCCGAACCTTCGCGAGTTGCTGGTGAAACCGTTGCTGGCGAACTGCTGGCCGACGACGGGCCCACGCGCCGGCCCGTTGGAGCTCATGCCCGCGCCGTTGCCGCTGCTGGCGAAGCTGCTGCTGGCAAACAGCTGCCCGCCGACAGGACCGCGCGCCGCCCCGTTCGAGTTCGTCTTCGTGACGCTCCGGTTGCTGGAGGAGTAGCTGCTGCTGGCGTACGCGGCGGTCGCCTTCTGGGTGCCGCCGCCTCCCTCGGGGCTCGCGGCGCTCGGCCTGCAGCCGTTGCTGAGGTAGCCCGTGCGATCCGCGACGCCGACGGCCTGCGTGAGCGTCCCCAGCTCGTCTGGCAGGGCCTCTCCAGGCAGCACAGTGGCCACCTCTTAGGAGGCAACTGTTGGGAGGTTTTCGTCGGAAGGATTAAAAAAGGATTGAGCCCCATGGGGGGGCTGCTACGCCGGATTAGGCTGCGGATTAAGCGGGATTGAGCAAGAATGGGCCGGATCAAGCTAGATGTCGGGCCAGGGCAAAATCATAACTTGACCTCCCAGGAGTGGCATCCCAACGCCTGGTAGAAAGTGGCGCCCACCGCCCAGCAGTCGGAGGCCGCATAGTAGGTCTCCCTCGCGCGCACCTCCGGGCTGGCGTAGAGCGGCGTCGTGACCTGTCCCTTCACGCTCGCGCCCCGCTTCGGGTGCGGCCCCGAGCCAGGCAGGCGCTCCGCGCTGCCAAAGTCGGCGATGCGCAGTGCGCGGCCGCCCAGCCCCAGCAGCAGGTTCCCAGGCTTGAGGTCGCGGTGCAAGATGCCCTGCCAGTGCAAGTAGCTGAGGCCGTGCATCGTCTGCATGAGCCACTCAATCACCCGCTCGAGGGAAGCGACGGCGGCGTCGCTCTTCTCGGACATCTGCTCCAGCTTGTCCTGCAGGGTGCCTCCCTCGATCAGGGGCATCAGCAGGTAGTACAGCTGGGCGTCGGTGTTCGACCAGAAGTCCACCAGGAAGAGCACCGTGGGCCACCTCAGCGACTGCAGCAGCTCCGCCTCCGCCTTTACACTGCCGGAGTCGGTCGAGCCCAGCCTGCGCACGTTGATCTCCTTGAGGGCGAAGATCTCACCGTCACGGAGGCGCTTTGCCTGATTGGACGGCAACTCACTGGAGTCTTCCATGCCATCTTGTCATCTTGCTGGCTCTTGCGAATCGACGCTGGTGGACGCGAACCGACGCTCATCGACACTACACCTGCGACGATTCCTCACGATCGCCAAAAACGCTGATTTACGCCAGCGCTCCCCAAAGACGGAATTGCGAGGGCAGACAAGGCCCTCAAATACATGGTTGTTCCTCAGGATCAAGGCCACGAGTACGGTGGCTGCGACGCACGCCACGCGAGGCGGCTCACGGGCCAGAATGCTTACGGTTCGGGTGCACGCGCCGTTGATGCTTCCCCTCACCAAGCACTGCCAACTACGGCTCTGGTTGCTACATGCATGCTTCGCAGACCTGGCGTGCCACCCGCAGGCGCGCCAGTGCTAGGAGACTGGTTATTTGAATTCAAAAACCAATGCTTGGAATTCAAAAACCAGGCTCCCATGATCTGCGACCGGAGCCTGGTACACGACGCCGTACGCACCGCGCCCGAGCTGCTTCATCAGCAGGTACTCGTCCGCGAAATGGCGGCGCACCCCCTCGCGGACCACCCCCTGAAACGCCTCTATGGAGACGGGGTGCAGAAGGTACTCGTGGATGCCCAGCTTGCGCAGGCGCTCGCGCACCTGGAGGAGGAGGAGGAGGAGGAGGAGGAGGAGGAGGAGGAGAAGTAGGGAGGAGGAGGATGCTTCGTTTTTCTCCTTCTCTCTCTCTCCTCCTCCTCCTCCTCCTCCTCCTCCTCCTCCTCCTCCTCCTCCTCCTCCTCCTCCTCCTCCTCCTCCTCCTCCCTCCTCCTCCTCCTCCTCTCCTCCTCCTCCTCCTCCTCCTCCTCCTCCTCCTCCTCCTCCTCCTCCTCCTCCTCCTCCTCCTCCCCCTCCTCCTCCTCCTCCTCCTCCTCCTCCTCCTCCCCCTCCTCCTCCTCCTCCTCCTCCTGTTGGTGCCCCTGTCGCTGGGCGGGTCGGTCTTATAGGGCCATCGGCAGCTCGGGCCCCAGGCGGCCGTTCGGGACGATCGGGATCCTCCATGGCGGCCCTCGACGAGGCGCGGCTGGTGGAAGGCATCTCCCGGGCCCGAGGGAGCCTCCAGAAGCCTGTAGAGTTAGGTCGGGCATGTCCCCCTACAGGCGGATTTGGGACGAGAGCGAATCAGAAATAGCCAGAAAATTCTCCCCCGACTACTTTTGGACTATTTTTGAACAGTCCTCCTGTAGAGGGACAGGCCCGACGCAACCATAGAAGCCAGCGAGAGGCTCGCTCCGCGCTCCGCAGCGCCCCCTCCCCCCCCCCCAGCCCGAGCGCCTCGGTCTCCCCAGACGCCATGAGCCCACGCCCCACCTCCTGTCGCGGGCGGCGAACACTGGCGGCGCCGCGTACAGTGGAGGCCAGCCCACGAGAAACATTTCACGAGAGAGCAAACCCTGAGACCCCAGGGCGTCCATTGATTTTTAGTGTGGGGACGTCGCGCCTTCCATCGCAACACCATCGAAACCCAAGAAGCCCAGGGCAACCTGGAGGCAAACAGGGTGCTGCTCGGCATGGGCCCCCACTGCAAGGGGGTGGGGGGACGGGGGAAAGCTTCTTAGAAGCAGGGTGCTTCTGAGAAGGCGCCAGCCATTCATCCACGGAGAAGGCCCGCGCCTTCTGAGAAGCAAGAAGCAGGGGGCTTCTAAGAAGCCCTCCCCCATTTCCCCTACCCCCCCCCCTCTGCGGGTGGCCGAGATTACACATATCCATGCCCGCGCGCTCTGGGCGTCAAGGCGCGATTCCCTGGATACGCGACCCCACGGGCACGTCCCGCGCGGGGCAGCCGCGCGCGTCCATGGGCGCCGCGGCCGAGGGGCTCTGCATCTCCGTGGGGCCGCGGCCTCCGTGGATGTGGACTCGTCTCCCGCCCGCGATCCTCGTAATCCTCGGGCTCGCTGATGAGGGCCACGTGCAGTTCCTCGGCTACACGTAGGAGCGACCCTGGGCAAGAATGACCTTTGGTGCGCGGCTGTTCGAGGGGCCACGGAGGGGAGGGGGGGCCAAACACAAGCGCGCAGGACGCTACTATACCGCATCGAGTTCGGCCGTCAGGGGGGGCCCCAGTGTGTCCCGCACCAAAGGTCACTCCGGTGAAGGGTCACTCTTACGTGTGGTCGGAGGAGGAGAAGGAGGAGGAGAAGGAGGAGGAGAAGGAGGAGGAGGAGGACGAGGAGGAGGAGGAGGAGGAGGAGGAGGAGGAGGAGCGAGAGTGGGATGGGGAGGGGGAGGGGGACGAGGAGGATGAGGAGGAGGATTCCTCTCTCTCCCACTCCGGCGGCAGCCTGTCGAGCAGCGAAGCCCCCAGGAAGACGACTCTCGCGAAGCGCCGCGCCTCCCGCGCGGCCTTCAGCGCGGCGACGACGGTGTCCTCAAGGCTGTGAGATGGGTGCGAATACGCGGCGCGCAGGTACACATTCTCGACGTTGGCGCTGCTCGCAAGAGGCGGTAGCAGGGACGCGAGGGTTTCGGCCCCCTCCGTCGCCCCAGGTCTGGCTTAAACCTGTGCTCCCCCCACAAACGCCAACCACATCCTCCTCCTCCTCCTCCTCCTCCTCCTCCTCCTCCTCGTCCTCGTCCTCGTCCTCCTCCTCCTCCTCCTCCTCCTCCTCCTCCTCCTCCTCTCCTCCTCCTCGCTCCTCCTCCTCCTCCGCCTCCTCCTCCTCCTCCTCCTGCTCCTCCTTCTCCTCCTCCTCCTCCTTTTCCTCCTCCTCCTCCTCCTCCTCCTCCTCATCCTCCTCCTCGATCCTTCTCGAAGCTTCGGCTGGCGCTTGTATCCACCGCCCCTGGCAACCGCCCATCCTGGGCCCAGGAGCGGTGCCTATTCCCCACCCGTGGGCGTGGCCAGAGGCCTCTGTGCACCGATCCCGGGCCCATAGTGGGCCTGGCCAAGTGCGGTGGACATGCCCAGAGCTGTTCTTTGGCCTCGCCCTCCTCGCCCTCCTCGTCCTCCTCGTCCTCATCGTCCTCCTCCTCCTCCTCCTCTTCTTCCTCCTCCTCCTCCTCCTCCTCCTCCTCCTCCTCCTCCTCCTCCTCCTCGCCGCGTCCTGGAACCTATTCTTCGGCCTCGTCGCCCTGGCGAGCGACTTCCAGCGCCCGCGAGCGTCGCTCTCGGGCGCCTGGGAGGCGGCTCTGCGGACCACCTCGCGGCGGCAAGCGCAGGGGGGCAGCGAGAGGGGGGCCGGGCCTTCTCGGGAGGCGCGGGAGATCCCCGGCCTCCTGCGGCAGCCTCTCAGAAGGCCACGGGGGGGGCTTCTGAGAGGCCTCGCCGCACTCTGAGAAGGCCCGTCTCCTCCCTCGCTTCCTCCCTCGCGCGCCGCCGAGCCTCCCGCATGCTTTCCAGGGCCTCCGCGGGGTTGCTGAACAGCTGGCACTCGTAGTTCAGGTCCGCACACAGGGCGGCCATCTCCTCCGACAGCTCCGGCTGCTCCTCCACCACGAAGACCGTCACGTGCGACTGGGCGCCCCCCTTCGGGTCGAGGACGTCCTTCGTCACAATCTTGCGAAAGCCGCGCAGGAGCTCCTTCTGCTCCTCCCGTATGTCGTCGCGCGCGCGCAATGCTCGCCTCGCGTCCTCGAGCTCGGACTTCATGGCCGCGAGCAGGACCTGCTGTTCTTTGATCAGCTTCGTTGCCTGAGCGTCCGCTATGCGGAGGCCGTTGGACTGGAACTGCACGTGTTCCTTATCCTCATTACCCATGCCAGAGACCCCTGCCTTGACCAGCTCCTGGCCAGTGCTGGTCCCCACCATCAGCTCGCACGTCTCTGAGAAAAAGGACGGCCTGCTGGATCGTTTAAACACTTTCAATCCATGACCTTGCTCTTTGCGACGCTTGCTACGCATGCGCCACTGGCCCAGGCGACTCAAAGATGCTTCGATCGAGCCTCTTCGGGAGAGCTCCGCAGGTAGAACCTTCGCGCACAAGACGGATCGAGATTCCCGACGGGCCCCAACCGGCCTCCAGGCGGCCCCCAAGAGGCCCCCAGGAGGCCCCAAGTAACGCTTTAGTGCATGTCAATAGTTATTGTGTCTCTGGGTATTGTGCGAGTCAGGCTTGTGTCTCTAAGGTTTCAGTGTGTGTGTGTGGGGGTGTGCGTCGATGCTGTGTATGTCAGGTTTAAGTGCGTGTGTCAATATTGTGTTATAAGGTTTCAGTGCTTGTCGGGGCTGTGCCTCTGAGGCTTAAGTGCGTGTCGTTACTGTGTCCCCAAGGCGTGTGCGTGTCAGGATTGTGTCTCTAAGGCTGAAGTGTACGTTTGTGTGTCAATATCGTGTCTCTAAGGTTCAAGTGTGTGCCAACTTTGTGTCTCGAAGGTTGAAATGCGTGTTGTGGTTGTGTCTCTCAGATTTCAGTGCGTGTCAGGATTGTGTCTCTAAGGCTTAAGTGCTGGTCAGGATTATTTCTCTGATGTTAAAATCCGTATCGGGGTTGTGCCTCTAAGGCTTTCGTGCGTGTCATGCTTGTGTCTCCAGGGAAGAAAAATGCGTATCAGGATTGTGTCTCTAAGGTTCCAGTCGATGTCATTACTGTTTATACTGTTTATCTAAGGGTTAAGTGCCTGTCAAGTTTGTGTCTCTCAGCTTCAAGTGCGCAGAGGTTGTCAAAAGGAGAAGGAGGAACAGGAGGAACAATTAGGCTACCCTCTCTCGTTGAGAACCTGCAAGGGTCTCACCCGGAGAACCATTCAACCGATTCGGCGTTGGCCCCGTCCACCCAGATAACCATCCCATTTCCCAGTGAGCCAACCCTTTTCCCGAAGAGTAAGTCAATTTGTCTCGGGGGGGAGAGCGGGCGAGTCTTCCAACCCTCAAGACTGTAGGCAGATAGAAAGGAGAAAGCCTGCGGCTGGCACTCCAATCGGGAGGACGACAGTAGCAAAGAGTAGGGTAGAGAATCAGCACACGTAGCTGATTTTCCTGCGCATGCTGGCGACGAGAGGCGCCCATGCATCGAGGATTGGGCTCGGCGGCGGGGCCGAAGCCAGCAGCAGATTTCGCAACCCACCCTTTCCATATCTTAGTCTGTCGTCCAACTCGATGCAAATAGCAAGCAGGCGCTTCTTTGCCTGAGGCCCAGGGCCTCCTGTACGACAGCAGGCTGTTCTCCGAGCCGCAGCCTTCCGCCGGCAGCACCCTCAGGCTCTGCAGGTGCTCGCCGGCGGGAGGCAGCCGCAGCTCCAGCACGTCCTTGGCGCTTGCGCCCGTGTCCTTGGACGGAACCCGCTCCTTGGATGGCGACGACAACTCTTTGGAATGGCCGTGGGAGAAGCTGGTATCGCTCCTGCCATCCGTCCTTCCGCGTGCCTCGGGCTCTGGCCCCTGCGCGGCCACAGGCAGGGCCACGTCGGGGAGCGCAGCCTTCCCCCGGTGGCCCCCGCTGAGGCCGTGGCCCCGCAGCTGCAGGGCGCGGAGCCACCTCCAGGTCAGCAGGCCCAGGCACACCGTGGCGGTGGTGGAGCTCAGCTGCATCACCTGCACCACCAGGTCCCCCGTCTCGCTCGAGACCCACGGCAGCGGCCCGTACGGCCGCAGCTGCAGCGCCGCGGCCGCCACCATCGGCGCCAGCGCGGCCACGAGCCAGAGGGCCACCCACAGCGTGGCCAGCAGGCTCAGGCCCGGGGCCGCCTGCGCGCCCCCGGCGCCCCGCGCCGCCCGGAGCCGGCCCTCCGTGCCCGACGGCCGCGGGCTGCCGCACGCCGGCTGCTGCGGGGCCTCCGGGCGCCCGAGCTCGGCGTGGGTCGCCGGCGGAGCCGCGCAGGGGCCGGGAGGGTCGTCCTGCGGCTCGCGGTCGGCCTCGGGGGCCTCGGCGCGGAGAGCCTGCGCCCACGGCTCGCGGTCGGCCTCGGGGGCCTCGTCGCAGAGGGCCTGCGCCCGAGGCTCGCGGTCGGCCTCGGGGGCCACGGCGCGGACGGCGTGCTCCAGGGGCTCGCCGTCGGCCTCGGGGATGGCCTGCTCCCGCGGCTCGCGCAAGGCCTCATCAGGGCCGACAACGCGGATGGTGAAAGCAGCCTGCTGCTCCTGGAGGTCAGGCGGCTTGCCCGCCAGGCCGAGGGAGTCCGAATCCGCGTGGCCCACGCTCGAGAAGGCCTCGGGAGTCCTGTGGCCCGCCGTGCAGTCCGCGGTGCTGTTGGATCTGGAGAAGGCCTCATGCACCGGGGAGAGAGCGGTCCCGTACACGTGCGACACGATGCCGCCAGAACCGAATGGCTCCTCAGAAGAAGAACTGAGCACGCTTGAGCAGGGACCGACCGTCCCAGCATTCCTATAGGCCTACTGCGACATGTTCTTAGAACCCAAACCTGTTCCAATTACAGAAACAATGCTCTTAGAACATTAACCCGATGTGTTAAAGCAAGACAATCTGGGCCAGAACTGTTCTAAGAACCTTTCGTGAAAAACAAAACAGGTTCGTAGAACATTGTTTGGTAGGCCTATAGGCACGCCAGGACGCTTCGCCACTGCTTGACACACACACACACACACAGGAAAACAGAAAGTGTCAGCGCAGAGATTTTTCGGATCTGCACTGGGCTCACCGCCCCCCTGGCGCGCGGAGCGTGACAGGGGCGGCGCCTGGACCTCCGAAAGTGTACAGTCATCGTGCTGCTGTTAGGTCGGGAATGTCCCCCTACAAGGGGATCTTGGACGAAACAAAAAGAATACCCCAAACACATCCACCCAAATGGCCAAAAACTAATCAACAAATCGTCCCCAGATGATTCTTTGGACTATTTTTGACTATTTTTGACTCTTCCCCCCTGTAGAGGGACATGCCCGACTTGAATGTTCCTGCGAGGAGCGCTGAAGAAAGGCACAAAGGCGCTGTTCTGGCCACGGCGGGCCTGGGCCATACGGAGGTTCCTCGGCGGTGGACAGACCTCCCTTTAGCAAACCTCCCTTTCTAGTGAAAACGGCCTAGGACCGAAACCGACTGACCTGGACCCGCAGAAATGACGGCCGCGACGCCCTCTCGCGAACCGAAAACGGCCAATTCGCTAATCGGCGTGTCGGGGTAAGATGGTTTATCCAGCTCCGAGTTCCCCGACCTTGTCGAAGGAGCGGCCCGGAAGCCCGAGCCCCTCCCTGGGCCCAAAAAGTCTATACACCCTGCGAAATGCTTAAGAAATCATGGGTTAAGAAATCCATAGTCTCAGAAAGTGAATAAAACCCAGAACTTCTATCAAAATCTTGGGGTTTACATTGAAAAGGTAAGAATAATCGAGACTCAGGACGAAAACATAGGTTTTCTTAAGCATCGCCTAAGGTGTACTTCAGCGTCTGGCCCGTCTGCTTGCGCCGCCGTCTCTCCTGCAAAAACGCCGACCTGCCATTGCCGCCGTGCTCGCCGAGGTCATCCTGCGCATCAAGGTCAAGGTTCAGGTCTGGCTGCCAGCTGGGCGGCCTTGCCGCCACTGCCCTCATGAGGAGCCCATGGCCTCCAGCCGAGCATCACTCACTGTCCCCGCACGTCCTGAGCAGACATGGCTGAGCCAGGAGGGGGCTAGCGTTGAGTCGGGCCTGTCCCTCTACAGGTGGATTATACAAAAATAAAGAAAATAGTCTGGGGACTATGTTTGGAGTATGTTTGGTATTTCGGGCAATTGTTTAGTATATTTCTAATTTTTCGCCCAAAATCCGTCTGCAGGGGGGACACGCCCGACCTGAGGCCAGCGCAGAGCAGGAGAGGCAGTGGACGAACAGGACAAAAGAAGAAACCACCGCCAATACACATGGCCACTTCCGGCAGCCCTGCCCACCTCCTGGGGGCGCACGTCTTACTTCCGCAGTGCAAGCTCTTCGGCACCGCCCGCTCTCCGCACCCTCCGGCCGCCTGAGGCCCCGCCCGCCCGCGCCCTGTCTCCCCAATTAGTGCTTCGCGCGCCCCGCCTGGCTCTTAACCGGAGGAGGCCCGCTCTCGACCCGCCGACCAAACAAACGTTTTACTTCCGTCGCCTTCCGCCGCCCTTCCGCAGGCTCCCGCCGGGCTCCGCCGGCGGAGGCGGCAGCGCTGCGCTTCCGCCGCCCCGCCGCCGCCCTGCCGCCGCCCTGCCGCCGAGGAAGAGGTGGCAACTCCTTTGATCCTCGAAGGGCGAGGACCTTTCTGGAGCTCCTCGCACATAAAAACTGTCGGAGGTCCGCGCGGACTGGTTGGATCGGCGCTCGACCCCCCTGGCGGTTCCTCCGGTGGCGCGCTCCACGCGCCACGGGAGGGGGGGCCAGCGCCGATCCGAGAACTCCGCGCGGGCCTCCGAACATGTATGTCTATGTCGCTTGTTCTTCTACAAGACAAGCAAGGGCTGCCACGCGGAGGGAGGGCAAGAAACGCCTGCACACGCACTCATACCATCGCAGGCGGTACAAGGGAGAAACAAGCCAACACACATCTCTGTCAAGTCCATCTCACACGCTGCCAAAGGTCGGAAGATCCCACGGTAACGGCCAATGACCTTACTTCCGAGTCTTGCTGGAAAGCAGCGGAATGGACGGATGGTTGTCGGGCCACAACTTGGAATGGAGAGGGAGAAGGAGCAGGAGGGAGAGGAGGAGGGAGGAGGAGGAGAGACTGGGAGGAGGAAGAGGCATGAGGAGGAGGAGGAGGAGGAGGAGGAGGAGGAGGAGGAGGAGGAGGAGAAGGACGACCACGGCGTCGACGGCTTTCGAGTCAAAATTCGTGTCCCCGGTGGCCTTTCGGGACGATGCGGGCGCCCCCAGAACGCTGTCGGCGGGGCTCGGCTGCTGGAAAACATCACTACAAGCATCGTCAAACATAAACGGAAGACTTCTGAGTTCGGTGATTGTGGGGCCAGCGCTGCTCCAATGCTGGCGGATGTCTGTTGACTCGGGCGCGGCGTCGTCCAAAAACCGACCCCACCCTCTGAGCATTGAAGAACGCGTTTTCTGAGAAGTGCCCGACGGCATCGTGCTCCAGGATTTCAACTTCCATTTCTGGATATTTTTGACGAGGATTGTAGGAGCAGCAGCTGCATACTTTCGGAGGTCCGTGTTGATTTCTTGGATCGGCGCTGGACACACCTCCCTGGCGCGCGAATCTAAAGGCTCGAAAACGGCCACAGATGGATCGAATCGCGAAACCTGATCGGATCGGAAACGGATCGGATCGCCAGCGAATCGTCCCGAACCGAATCGAAATCGGATCGCCGAGCTCGGCTCCGGCTGGCCATGGACGATGTCGATTCATCGAGCGGGACCGGATCGAATCGGAATCGCGGCTCCAACCAGCGAGCCGAATGGCATCGTTTCCGAACGCAGGCGGCCCTGTGGAGCTCCCTGGGGGTCGACAAGAACGCCAAGGGGAGGGATCCAGAGAACGCCTGGCCTCAGGAGAGGAATGAAAAAGCTGAATAAGCACAAACTGTCGACGGTCCGCGCGGATTTCCTGCATCTGCGCTGGCTCCCCCTCCCGGCGCCTCCAGCGCCGCCCCTGGCGCGCTCCGCGAGCCAGGGAGGGGGAGCCAGCGCGGATTCGAGAAACACGCGCGGACCTTCGAAAGTTTATTTGCAGCTTTTCTCTTCGACTCATCAGAGGGCGTGAAGTGGAACGGCCTCTGGACCGAGCGCGTGACAACCTACCAGACAAGCCCAACCCATCCCGAAGACCCAAATTTTGGATTGGAGGGAAGGGTACGGGTTCCACGAGTGTTTTTCCATGCTCCCGACGCCCACCCTACTGGGAATGGAGGGCAAATTGGGGCCTTCTGGTTGGGTTGGGGTGGTTTGGTAGTCGGTGAGCTCGCGGAGCAAAAGCGCGCAGCAGCGGCAGGCCCAAGGTTTGAGCAGGGACCGACCGTGCAAGCATATCTATAGGCCAACCATGAGATGTTCTTAGAACCCCACAGTGCTCTAATACCAAAAACAATGTTCTTATAACCTAAAACCAATGCGTTACAACAAGACAGTCCCAGACAGAACTGCTCTAAGAACATTTCGCGGAAACCACGAAAGGTTATTAGAACATTGTTTGGTAGGCCTACAGGACCGCCAGGACGCTTCGCCATTGCTTGAAAGATAGGGCGCCCATCGTCGTGCTGCTGCCCAGGAGGCGCCAGGCCGACGGGTTCCCCACACGGCGGCGCGCCGCTGGTGTGCTCTCCGGGTAGGGCAGGAGGAGGAGGAGGAGGAGGAGGAGGAGGAGGAGGAGGAGGAGGAGGAGGAGCGAGGAGGAGGAGGAGGAGAGGAGGAGGAGGAGGAGGCGCAGGAGGAGGAGGAGGAGGAGGACGACGAGGACGAGGGGGAGGAGGAGGAGGAGGAGAAGGAGGAGGAGGAGGAGGAGGAGGAGGAAGAAGACGAGGAGGAGGAGGAGGAGGAGGAGGAGGAGAAGGTAGCGAGCGATGAAGAGCGAGTCCGAGCGTACGGACCCGCTTCAGCGGGTTGAAAGTGATGAGCCGCACGGCGAGGCTTCGAGCCATCGCACCGTGCCGCTTGACCTCGACAGCGCCGTCCCCACCTCGTCGGAGTGTCGACGGAGGAGACCTGGCGTCGAGGCCGTCATGGGCAAGGGTCCCCCGACCTGGGGTGCAGCCCTCGCAACGCACGTGAGATCTGCATCTCCTCGTTCGCACGAGTGGAAGCTACGTCCGAATGTCCCTTGCACTGGGCACGCAGCTTGCGGTTGCGGCCTCCAGCCACACTAAACGCCCCGCAGCAGAGGCAGATGACCGTGGAGCCAAAACGCTCCACACCGTGGCCGGGTTCCGAGTACAATTCCACCTCCCGATCGACCCCGACGGCGACGACGTCAGCCCCCACTCCCCCACCCTCACGAGGGCCTCCAGAGGGCCCTAGGCCTTCGTCAAGGCCAGCAGCACGCACGGCGGCGTCCACCGCACGTGAGGCGTGCCGATAGCATTCGGGGGTGAGGGCAAAATAACGCGTCGCCATCGCTCTCTGAAGATCCGTGGGCTCGCATCGCTTCGCTCGAAGGGCCTTCAAGGAATCGATCGTCCGCGCGAACCTGTTGCAATTCTGGCACCTGTATTCAGATAGCCTCTCACAAAACCGAAACTCATGCGAGTCAAGCACAACCAACGGGGCGGCGCCATCACGACAAACCTGAGACGGCACAACTTCCCTAGGTTGGAGCTCAGCATTCTTTTTGGCGACCGCTTGGGCCATCCAAGCAAAGACCTGCGAATGGTCTTTGGCCGCCTTCATGGCTTGCTTATAATAATCCTGCATGGTCTGGCCAGTAGAATGCACCTGGGCCCCACGCTTGGCGAAGAAGTCAGCCCACTCGTTAGCAACGAAACGGACAAAATCGCAATCTGGGGCCTCCAAAACCTCCGAGAGCTCTCTGTGCGCAGGGACCCGCTCGAAGGTAGGAGGTGCCACAGGACAGTGCTGACGTATTTTTTCCCACGCAGCCGCGTGACGGCCGCCAGGGGAGGCAGCGGCCTCCGACCAGGCGCACCCCTCACGCACAAGATTCAGGTGATCAGACACTACGATTGCAGGCTGCTGCACAACTTCAACTGCTTTGAGCGCTGCGTAGTGCTCCGCACGTGGCACCGTCTGTACCGCTCCTGGTAGCGCGCCAACAAATGCACGTAAAACGTTGCCAGCCTCGTCGACCTCCACCACAGACCAGCCGCAGCGGGCCAGCTCTGGGATCGACGACGCTTGGCCGCTTCCGTCGGTGTACACCCTCCGCCCCCATCGCCCACGCCAGTCCCCCCATCCCAACACAGGATGCACGTCGCTCGGGGGCGACAGCGCTGCTGGCTCGGGCGGCAAACCGAAGCTGAGATAAAATTGATCCGCTCCAGATTGCGAATTATTCTTGGCCTTGATGGCCTTCCTCAGCTCGAGGACATAAACTGGAACAGGCACGTCCAGCCCGCCTAACATGGCTTCGCACTCAAACCATTGGTGAGACTCGTTGCCAGTCGCCTGCTTGCATACAAAACACTGCGGGGAATTGCGGAGGCCGATGCTGTGCAAACGCTCGGGGGCCCAAACACCAGCCGACCAAAGCGTACGCAAGGTGCCTCGCCTCGCAACATCTCTTACCGCAAGTACTGCTTTTCTCATTCCCCTCCTCCAGCAGCTCTCTCCAAGGCTGTTGGGAAGGTGCTGAAGGATCCGATCTACTTGCCAGCGGCGAAGGCTTTTCCCCCAGGAAGGCTTTCACATCACCTGGACAATGCCTAACTAAATCGACGTGGCGACCTCGATCGTCCACAAGCACTGTTGGAGAAAACATCGTCCAACCCACACGCAGCAGCGTGACCCAAACCGAGGCGATGGGGCCACGAGCTCTGGTCCACGAGGTGCGTTGGTCAAGCTTCGCCCTGACCGCCTCCCAAGCTCTACGGAGCCGTCCAGGCGCGACCCTATTGTCCCAGATGAACGAGGCAAACCTAACCACCAAAGGAACCGTCGCATCAAAAATAGGGTCGAACCTG